GGGCTCTACAAGTCCTTCATGACAGTTAATGTGACCATCTATATAACCATTAACAACAACTTCTGTATCAGGTGGAACAACAGTATTTGTGCTAACCTTAATTCGAGCAACCCCATTGGACTCTTTTCTCATCAACTTAATCTTATGTTTCCCAATCTGCATGAGACCCTTTCCAAACTTTACATTGACATCAAACTGGTCGAGAAAGTCATTTCCAATGATTGCATTTATATCATCCAGTTGTGCAACTATAAAGTCAAATTCAAAAGGTTCATTGTCAATCTCAAAACAGAGATGTATTGTACCTTCAATCTTAACATCGGTACCATTGGCTGCAGTAAGGAGGGCTGAACACTGTTTAAGATCGGCGTTAGAGAGACCAAGTTTCTGAAATGTTGGTATAGAAATGATTGAGGCTGCTGAGCCTGAATCAACTAGTGCTTGAAAGTAACAATCATTATACAGAAGCTTAGCATAGAGACATGATCTTTGTTGTATAGGACAAAGTGTGATGTTGTGATAATGCCCATTTTCTAAATTAGTTTCTGAGTTGGCTGTACTTTCGGGCGCAAGAACAGCCTGACCTAGTTTCCCGAACTAGATTTAGGACAGTTCATGGCAATGTGACCTTTTTCGTGACAATTGTAACATTCAACATTGTGAAGTTTTGCTCTATCCTTACTATCAGTTCTTTCTCTACTCTTGCTCCTACTATTACTCCGGCTTATAGAGTGAGTGAGGCGTTCAATTAATTTGGCCAGATCATTTAATGAAACGGAGTCTGCTCTACTTTTGTGAGTTTGGGATGACTGACTTGTAGGCTCTGAGACTGCATTAATTTGACTGTCTTCCTCAAAACGAGGTTTTCTTAAGATACCCTGTGAACCTTCAAATGTTTCGAACTCAACAGCTAAAGCAATAGCACTATCTATTGTAGTAGGGTGTCGATATTGCACATGGCTACGGACTTCAGGGCGAAAAAGGCCATTTATAAATTGGTCTATGACGTAAATCTCTCTAGCCTCTAAACTAACACCCGGAAATGCTTGTGAACACAGTCTTTGCAATGCGTAACCAAAATCAGAGGCATTCTCATGCCTTTTCTGTTTCCTAATTCGGAACTCACAACGAAAAGCTGTTTCGCGTTCTATTGGATTGAACCTACGGCCTATAAGATCTTTGACTGCCACATAATCAGTAAGACTTTCAGATTTTATCTCACTTAACAGCTTTTGAGCGGGACCTCGCAGTGACATTATCAATTGCTGCGCCCTCTCTTTGTCGTCCCATTCATTCCAGTTAGCTACGTTTTCGAAATGTATCAGATAATCACGCCAATCTGTGTTTTTCCCATCAAATTTGTCAGGTTCTTTGTGTTTATGTTTGTGTTTTGATGGAATACTGGTATGTTCTTGTAAAGTCTGTGATTTAAGGTTTTGCCGAAAACCTTTGTTGCATATTGGCTCCTCTGTGGTTAAGATCAGATTGTGACTCATAGCAGGACTGAGTTTGATCACTCAATGTAGGATCCAGTGTGGCAGTACAAGTATCTGTATTTCGGGTACTTTGTTTTTTACGTTGTAAAGTACTGGGAATATCTTCTTGTGGCACCTCCTGTATTTGGTTTCTAATGTTTGAATATTGTGTTGGTACCCCGTAAGAGGTTGTCTCTGCTTGTTTTGATCTGAAAGCTAAACTGCCTGGTTGATCAATACGAGTTGGCTCTACAAATTGTGTTTCTGCGTGAGGTTCTATGTATGGCGTATATGCTGGTTCGTTGCTTTTATTTAGAACCGCACTTGACTGACCTGGAGGCCTACCCTGTATCTGATGTGCATAAACATTTGGTTGTGTAATACCCATGTTACCCATTCCCTGTTGTTCAGAGGTATAGCCAGTGTATGGTAATGAGTGTCTAAAATTAGGTGGAAATGCACCTTTGAAAACACCCTGTAAAGAAGTGTCTTGATGTGTGACTATAGATTCATCATGATTAACACTAGAGTTAATATAAGTATTAGGGTTATATACAACTTCTTGTTGCTGTGGTTTACCCATATGTGGTAAGGAATCTAAAGGAACACCATGTGTTTTATCGGGATTGGGTACAGAATCTAAGGGAACACCCTGTACATTACTTTCAGAGTGATTGCTGTTTTGAAAACTATGTGTTTTAGTAGCAGACTTTTCAAGTCCATGAACAATTGGCTGCATTGGGTCAGAACGATTAGGTGGAAATACACCTTTGCACACACCCTGTATAGATGTATCATGACATTCATTTACTGGGGAAGTAATCCATCCACTGGAAATATCACATGTTTCCGTGGAGTGCATATCATTGAGTGAGTTTGAACTATATATGTTTTGTTTTGCATTTTTGGAAACACCCTGTATAGGAAATTTAACTCTATCTGTATGTGTATTCAAGGACAGATTGCAATGAATGCAAGGACAGCGTCTATCATGTGAAACATGAGGTTGTGTCTGCTCATATGAACCATGAGGACTGTTTTGTGTTAGCATATGTTTGGACATATCCGTATACTGTGGTGACTTATAGTTCTGTGAGGGATTGGAATATGTATACAAGTTCTGTGCAGTCTTGTCTTGATAGTGTGACTGCGATGACACTGCATGAGGTTCAAAATACCGAACCTTTTGTGCTGAGTTCATATTGTTAGAATACTGTTCTGTGTGCATGGAGCCGTGACTCCTTTGTTTTAGATATTCCTCATAACCTAGACTCATAATTTTATCAGGTGTGTTTGGTGATATATCATTTAGACTTGTGTTGATTCCAACAGACCTGTATTTTGAGATGTAATCTGGGTCAGATATTTGTACATCACCCTGTACATTTTGCATGACTGATGGTCGTGGTGTTATAACACTGCTTGTGGTAAAAACAGTATTAGACAGTGTGTATGATGACGGGACACTATGCCTATGATGTGGTACCATATCTAAAGTACTAACGTCAATCAAAAGTGAAGGTAAACTTTCGCTATCACCCTGTACGTTTACCGTACTATTTTCATGTCTAAATGCAGAATCAGTTTGCAAACTATCGTTAACTAATTTTGAATTCAATGCACTTCTCTTGGTAGGGACTGTATCAACTTTTGTTTCACCCTGTACCTTTGAGAATCGATTCCTCGAAAATTGTACATGTTCAGAATGCACTGGTGTGTCAGACATTTCAGAATGAGAGAAAAAGGGCGGACTTTGTTTTATCAAAATTTCAGGATCTTTTGTGTCACCCTGTAGCCTATGTGTCATGTAACTAGATGAAACAGTATGGTCATAACATGACATAGGATATGTTGTATCTGTTTGTGTTGTCAATATTTGGTTCAACTCTAAGGTGGAATTGTCTACTCTGCCTTGTGTATTTTCAATTGTGTTTGTTTTATGATGCGGTGCACGGCTGGTATTTTGTTTAGTACTCGACGGCGACCACCAACGGTCCCACCAACTACCGTTATTTGACATTGTTTGCGTGTAAGTTCCAATGAATTTACACAAAAGCGCACATGTATTTATATATATGTTTATATAATACACAAAAAGTACTGTTCTACATAAAGAATAAACTTCCAAAATAAAACTATCCTGGTCACGGCACCAAATGTAACAGGAGCCAGGACTGTTTGGCTTAAATACCCAGGTTCGATCTATATTTTATAGTGTGTGCTTATTTTGGAAAGAGACAACTAAATGTAATAACTTTACACTCACAATTTTATTATAAGCAGACAAGCTGTATGAAATATATTACTGAATATAATACCATATTTTATATAATTCTGAAATAAACCCTGAATATAATTTGTAAGAATTAAAGAAATGTTTCTCTAAGAGCCAAAAATGAAACCTAAAATCTAAATTAAAAAGAGAAATAGAAAAATTTAGAGAGAGAAAGATGGTTCAGTTCTAAGGCCTATGAAATAGGTAACACTTTACCTTCAGCTCGGCGACCAAAGCACTGAACGCTGGGCATAGGCTGGGAGCCTATTTATGCCAGGGATTTCCCGCCAAAAATTGAGGGACATTACCAAAATAAACATAAAATCAAGTACTGTCATTAGACTGCATACATAAAACTATAGTGAAACTAATTGTACACATAGTTCATGTTATTATTTAACAACCCTCTGGAAGGAAAAACAAGAAGCATGAAAATCTCATGCTGCAAGTACAAGTACGCTATACTATAACTTAAAGGTGTATAACCATACACTGATAATGTAAGGAAACTGCCTAAAAAGAATGATTTCAGGTCCTTATAAACATGTAGTTTAAGGATAAATACTCTATAAAATTGGAATATATGAAAAGCCAGGGTTATAACTGCGTTACTGAAACGTATTAAAGAAGTTAACTTATACATACATGTATAAACATCTAATGTACTTCATATAAAATCAAGGTGTATACCTTTAATAAACCCTCACTAGGTGTACTGAAGAAAAGTAGTTCAAAATAGGCCATACCAACATAATTATATGGTTATATAGATAGTATGAAATGAACAATATACTATAGAAAATATCGCTCCTGCTACAGTTTGCAGACGCGGCCATTTTAGCCTGACTATTGTATTTAAACAATGTATGATAGAAAGAGGTATCATACTCACCGGGGCGTTTGCGTCACAAGTTTTTCGTACCATACCACTTATTTCCTATCCCTTTGAGAATTTATGTTTTTAAAATTGTTCATGACCATCATTCATATTTCCAGGCAAAATGACCACTCTGTCAAATATTTTGACAAAATTATGCCCCCTCTCCAACATAGAGTTTTTCATACCATCGCATTTATTTCTTCTTTGTCATATTTAAGATAGTCAAACTCTTGCTTTACATCCAGTAAGGTGGTCCTAGTAGATTAAATCGATTTTCATTTTATTTAAACTTCTTCCTTGATTGATTTAATGTTACCTTAAATTGAAAATAATGTATGATTTTGTACATGTGAATATTATTTTTCATCAGGAAACAGCCTTTCCAAGAAGAGATGGTTGCTTGCCTTTACATTAATTCGAAATCCTTCACTAGTGGCTCTGCGTGTCCGTGAATGTAAAAGTAAATCTCGGGACAAAACGGCGTTAAGTCTGACGGACATTCAATGTGTAAATAGCACAGCTACTGATTATCCGGATAATTCGACAGACGCTTCGGGATCTTCCATCAGTTGCTGCGGAAAGTTTAAGTTTGAGATTCCTTCAACTCTTCTCATCAATCTGATGGCTTTGATTGTGCTAATATCGATGCTCGTCATTTATGCTGGGCTTCCAGTTTTGATAAATGATTTGATAAAGACAGCAAAAATTCTTGCTACGGCAACATAACGTTTTGGAATGTTGATGTGCCAACATAAATTACGTTATTGCGGTTGCAACATAACTTACTTTATATATTGCTCTTTCAACCTAACTTATTTTATATATTGCTGTTTCAACATAACTTATTCTGTATCTCAAGTTCTGAAAGATGAAGACCAGTCTGAAGTTTCCAGCATTTGATTGGTTACTTCTGATAACTAATTTCAATTTGGATTTTAGCCAATTACAGACATTCATTGTTAGACTGGTCTGAAATTCTGTTTTCATCTTTTTTGAACTAGATTTTCTTGTTATACATTATAATCAAAGGTTTTTACCACACTAAATAATTAGAATGATTTATAATTGATAGAATTATCACACTTTATTAGAGTATTTTTTGATGAATTAACATTATAAAGCATATAATATTTGAATTTACATGTCAGAGTTGTCAATTCATTGTAACATGTGAAAACCGAACACCTCAGAGAGTAGCCAAAAAGTTCTTTTTGAAAGTTTCCGGAGTTCAGAAGTGAAGAAATATATGAACAAGTACGCACAGGAAACAACAGATGCTTTGTAAGACATGACAAAAAATATATGAAGCTGATAAAATTAACAAAATGGTAGAATTTTTAGGATTATTAAAAACTTTATTAAATTTTATTATCACGAATACTGACTTGATTGATACAATAGAAGTTAATTATCACAATTTATTTTCAACATGTTTAGTATACTACGAGCTATTTACCTTTAATCTTTTTTTCTTCACAATATACTCCTCACTTCGTAAATTGCATTTTAAAATCAAGGGTTTGACATGCTTAGTAGGTTGTGATTACATTAGGTGTCAAAATAAATGGTCAATACTAATTGGAAGATACTGACATTTTGCAGGTTTTATAATCTTCAAGTACAATAATCACATTCTTTTCAATTTCCGGATTTTAGAAATAAATTTGATTTGATAGAACCTAATTCTTTTCCTGAAAATAATTAGGAATTCAGAATTTAGAAGTTCCGGAATTCAGACGCATCAAATATATAGAAAACAAAAGGATAAATTTTGGAATCCGTGCATTGTCTGTCTTTCAATCTGGACACAACCATTCATCATTTTGAGGGTAAATTTTAAAATATGTTTGGACTAAATAGCAATCTAATTAAAAACAGCTCTAAATAGCGCTACACATCTACATGTAAGAACTAAGTAGATCTGAACTTTTGTCAGATAGGACTGAAACGCATGCGTTGTTGACGATGGCACAGAATCGCTGTCTGATCTTGATTCTGCACTTGTGGCATAGGTAGAATTTGTTGTCACAAGCAGAATATAAGTTAAATATGTGTTATGTAAAGACATATGTTATGGTTACACATCATTGTAGACTAGTGAATTCATTTGAATGTCATTGCTTTGTCAAGTGAAATGTGAATTACAATTTTAATAAACAATATAAATATATATAGGACTATGTCTTTTTTAGTAACAATATTCCATTTTCAATTACTTGTATTTTATTATAGTTTGTGGATCGAGGAGGGAAATGTAATATCCTAATTATTTGTAGTTCTTTTTACGTGTTTTTAGAGAGAAAATCCACCAAACAATTTAAATGATGAAGATATAGATAATTCTATTTCATTACAAATCATAAAGTATCTCATTAAAAAAAATTGTGTGAGTTTATAATATTTTCATATATATGTCAGATATATGACTTAAATAACTTTGTTAGTTTAAATTCATATTGAATGAATGAATGAACGAATAAATGAATATTTAATTTAGTAAAAGGGATTGTGGTGCAATACATTACGGATATTTGTATGTTGTACCTGATGTTTTGTTCTGGGTATAGAAGGAGACTAGTGTTCATAAATGTCGTCTGCTTTGATTCTACATTATGACAAATACAGTGTCTCATGATAATTTTATTAATACATGTATATGTTCAGTGGAACTTTTTTTTCATGAAAGTGCAAAATTCAATTTTTAATTTTTTTTTCTGACTTTGAAACACATGCCTATCATACTTGTGTGTTATAATCCTGCAATAAATTTCGAGGAACCTATTCAACTAGCTTGTGAAAGATCGGTTGAAATACTCAGTTGCCCTTTTCTGCCGGAATAAGTCAAGGATTGACACCTGAGGTCTCCCTTCCCAAAATGAAGCTTGGAAATTAACTCGGAGCTTTATAGCGCTGGTATGACTTGAAACCCAACAAGAAAATATTACTTAATAAAAATAGTATAAAATTGTTTTATATATCTTGACATTTCATAAAAAATAACAGGAAGTTAAGTACATGTAAGATATAATTTGGTTTTGCCTGATTTTTGCTAACAAGAATATGAAAGAGGAAAAGTTTTAAGTTTTAAGGTGTGTAATTTATTGTAAGATTTAAAAGATTGTTTTATTTGAATTTTATTAAGCTTTTACAACTTGAAGTAAATACTTTTTAGCTCAACTATCTGAAAAAAGTGGAGGTGTCATACGTTTCTGGGCATCGACTTTGGTGTAACTCTTTGGCTTAGGTTTAGGGAACAGTTTCTTGTACAGATCCATATTTCATCAATCACTATATTTCTTGTGATTTTATATGTCTTTGGGATTATAATTGAATGTCTCTTACAGAACTATGACTTGAAATTTGACTGAATGAACATTTGCTTCATTATAAAAAACTTTTAACAATGTCATGTATTTTGGATAAAATCTTTATCTTCATTCATTCCTACATTGGCCGGACATTTCTTTCATTATCAAGCACTGAAAATAGTCGAACATGCTCTTAACTAACAGCTCTTGCTAATACATGTTGTAATTTCAATAATTGAATCATTTCATTGAACTTGTCACAAATGTATTAAAAAAATAATAAAATATATCGATAAAAATATGACAGTTGTTATCTTGTTGCTTTAGATGTGAGATATTACACAAGTCTTTTAAAAATAAACTTGTGAAGTGTGTGATATTTATATTGACTTTATGCGTTTATGTTGATGAGTAAAGATTTAAAAAACAACTCCTATACAGTCAACAATGTGTTGCTAGTGTTTACTTAGGCTTTCCCTGTCCCTTTCCTCTGCCCTTGTACCTTCGGTGCCCTTACAGTTGAGAGGTATTGAATGTCGTTGTCCATCCTCTGAATGGGCATTGCAAAAGTAAACAAGGGCCAGTTAATTGCAAGCACAGCTATAGAACAGAATGAGATACATTCCATTACAATAAAATAAGGGTCCTTGGACCTTTCTACAACGACAGACAATAAAAAAAAGATAAACCCCTTGTTTTACATTTCTTGACAAGTCCATCCCAATCAATGTCTTGGAATCCGTTTATCAAATGTTTTAAGGATTATTCATATGAAATGCTAAGATTAGTTGCAATGAATGCGCAATGAGAACGAGATACTCTATCAGAAATACCCGAGGTACTCGATGTTTTATGGACACCCTACTCATGTAATTTTCTATGTCAAATCCCTTCCCGGCCTTGGACTTGGTGGCGTATTTTGACTATTGTAAACATTTGAGGCCTGCAGAAGACAAACATTGCCAAGATACGGCAAATTATCCACACGTCCGTTGTTTGGTAATAAATCGAAAACGCCAAGACTTCATATAACAGGCTGATGGCTTTGCAATGTTTTTAGGGTGACGGTGGCATTAACGAATGAAGATGAGGTATTTAACCAATTTTTGAATATAAATAAAATATGGTGTTTCCTTTTTCACAATAAAGATATAGTGTAACTCGAGACATAATAATATGGGAAGCAACTACCAACTAGATAAGTCTTGAAAGTTGATGGTCAAATTGGCAGTTAATCAATCGAAAACAAATGTGTAGTATGCAAATGTAGAAATTTCATCAAAAACGTGTCGAAATCAGAGAGTTTGTAAACCAAATATTTTTACAAAATAATGCTAATACAACAAATGCACATGCGTTTTCATAAAGACAAAGGAATAGTTTAGAATGGGTTTGAATGTTTTTGATACTGGAAGTTTTAAGTACTTTTGTTTAATCTGTTTAAATATTCCCTTGATATAAATGAATAGTAAAAACACAAAAGGTCAGTCAAGGAATGTTTAAAAATGATGTATTAACATCTTTAGAAGACAGCAATGTCAAAACTCTAGGTTAGACTGTCGTATAGATTTTCCCATAGGCTTACATTATGAGAAATGGTCCCCTATCCTACCTTGATTTTTCTTGGAGAATGAGATGCCTGACACATAAAATTATCTTGTTATATAGGTCAAGGCAACCAAATTGTTTGCAAAATGACTTCAAAAGAGGATTACCCCACCCCCATCCCGCACTTTCATTGATTTTTTCTGCTGATCACAAGACTCATATATTTTTTATGAAGTCACAAATTGTCACACAGGCTTATGACAGAGACTTATTTCATTTTCTTAAGAAAACAATAGTGTCTGCTACTAAATTAGTTTTCATATTTAAAAACATCACATTTTCATCTACTCACATCATTGAATCTTGCGGTTTGCAGATAGTCTGATCTCTACCATGGAGCTAAATATATGTTTATATGTCTGTGTCTCTACCATATTTTATTTCGTCTGTCTTACAGAGTCGTGAAAACCAATGACAAACATAAAAATTAGGTAAAAAAAATAGTTTAATAGCTTAAAGGAGATAAGGCAATGTTTAAATACTGATAACAACTACTTATGCTGTCATGCTTAATACCCTTATATGTATGATTTTGTTGATTTAGTATAAACAAACGTTTTTGAAATTTGAAACATGTTGGGAGGCCATTTTGGACTTTTTCACCATTAAAATGGGACCCATGCTCATCATTTCTTATATATCCCAAAGTTAGGTTTGTTGTTTTAACTACTTTCAGAATTATTTGTTGTTGTTTTTCACAATTTGACTGGAGTTAATTTAGTTTCTAGTACTACATTTATATTGCATGTATTATATTTATCATCGATAAAAAGTTGTGGAAATTCCATCTACGTATTGTCATTATTTTACAAAAACATATTCGCAAGATATAATCTGATGACCGATAAATGTTTGACATTATTGATTACATTAAAATGATTTGTCACTGCACAAGTGACATAGATAAAACATGCAGTTCTAATTTCGTGACCTACACATAGCTTGCATACTTTTGAATTCACTTAATTTCGTGGGCATGAAATTGCTTGGTTTTGTCGAAAAGAACATATTCGTGGGTTCTTACACTTGAGGACTGTTAATGTTTTCACAAGGTTAAATAGTATATAATGTGATGTAAAGCCATCTTAAAGCAGACATTTAGAAATTCCCGTTTAATCTTCAATTCATGTGTTAGTCAAATTGATTTCCTTATTATATAATTTTATGTTTATATGTTTTGTTAATTACTTTTGAATAACTGTTCATTATATTGTTGATATATCATAACCTTATGCATATTACATGCATTGGTTTTGAATAAATCTTAAATCTTGAATTGATTGACCTATCCACGGAAACCACGAAAATGAAGTTCTCATGAAAAATTATGATTTTGCAATATGTTTCCCGTGAACGAAGTTTAGAACGACGTACATTTAAATGAAGTTTGAAATATATCAAATGTAACTAGTAACTCGCTACATTTACTATTACGTAAGTGCTATTGTTTGAATTTATACCGGTCCTGACACAAATTAATCGTACACCCCACCCACCACCAAAAAAGAATATAACATCCCCGCCCCCAAAAAATTACAACAGCATAAAAACAACAGAAAAAACAAACAAACACAGAAGGAAGATATTATATAAAAGCGTTATTATTATTGTCAAATAGAAAAATATCTTTTCCTATTTACTCCCGCAAAGTTTAACACAGTTATTGTGAAACGTTGTATTTTACGAGTGTAATCAATTATTGTCTGATAACAGTGAAATGAAAAAGAATTGTTTCGATTTATAGAAAATACACAAGTGAGAAGTTTAATTGAATTCTTGAATCCAGTTGTGTTTCCAATAGCAGATGGATTTTCAAGGATTAAAGTATTTAAACTGATAATTTATTATATTTTCTTTTGAATAAGATCAACGCAGCAATTTGTAAAATTAACAACTGCCCATACATACTAGTATCAACGAACGCCTAATAGTATTAATATTGACTGATCGTATCCAATTTGTCTTTTGCATTTTTAGGTAAACTTGTATTACTTTATTTTTTATATTAGAATTGGTAGATCAATAAGTATTAAGTTTCATAGTATGTGAATTAAATATGTTTTGGGTAGTCGTAAAAAACTTCCAAATTGCCCGTAACCCATTATGACGTATATAACGCTTTTTTGAGTTTAATTCAAAATTATGAATAAAATATATTATTTGACAATATGTCTGTCCATGCAGACATTTTCTCATTCAAATTTTGACCAAATCAGATTATTAAAAATTAACGCCATTTATAGCTATCACATTG